AAACAAGCAATCACATCTGGTAAATTCTTCTGATGGGAGATCTTCCCAAATCTGTCAATGAAGGGGTTAACGCACTGCCAGCACCATGGGTGCTTCTCTGAGTGCCCACACACCTGATCTCAAGGCCCCCTGGGCAGTAGAAGAGCTCAGGGTCACTCCCTGCTCACTGTGGCTCGCAAGGATCCTTCTGCCCAGAGCAGGACCTGATCCTGGCATTCAGCCTGCCCTGCTAACTAAGCTACAAATTAGCACCGTACATAAATGTTATTTATTCCTAATTAATTATTAAGGCAGTATGTAACAGCACTCGAGAAAGATCATATTGGTATGTATCTGGATGCAACACAACCCTCCCTAAATCATGCTAAAAGCTGATTTCCCTCCTGCTATACAGCAAATTATGTCAGGCTTAGTGCTGGTACATAAGGAGAAAATTTGTTACCCTTCTGGAAAATCAATAGGCTCTTGGCAAACTGGGTTGGGAGTATTAATCATCCTGAAGGCACCATCTGCCCATGTGCCAAGGCACAACAGGAGAGCCACAGCACTGCCTGCAGGAGGGCAAAAAGCAGAGAGGACCTTCCCCACAGGGCAAGGGTGGGCTGGGGAGCCTGGAGCCAAACCCAGGGAGCACGACTGGGTTGGCAGAGAGCATAGGTGAGGCTGAAGACCTGGAGATGCACTGAGGAGCAGCTGGTGCTGGGCAGCGTGGCCTGCTGGGCTGGAGCTGCCTCCTGGTCCTGGGGAAGGGACCCTCCGGCCGTTGCTTGTGGCTTTTGCGTCTCATCCGATGGGTCTGTGCCTCTCCCCAGACCCACCTGGGAGCCTTCAGAAAGCCCAGAGAGCCAGCTGGTGACAGCCAGGAAACAACAGCAGTGGCCAGCTTGTTCCTGCTCAATATTAATCAGCACTTTACTGAATCACAGACGTGGCTTTGTTTGTGGGATATCATCTGTGAGGTTCGGAAAGCAGCAGGAATTAATTCAGCTTGGGAGCGTTGGATGACTCAGATTGCTGTGAAAACACCCCAGAGCAGAAATGAGATGTAGGGTAAATTCACCCATGGGGTGGCTCTCAATGGACTTCAGCTGAAGATAAATTTAATTTGCAGAAGTGAAGAAAGTTTTATTTATACTTTCTAAGTAGCATTTTAATATGAAATATTCAAATGGATAATCGAGAGACTCTTAATGGGTTGCATTTATTGAAAGAGGCTTTGATTTAAATTCCTCAACCTTGGAGTCCCAGGCACGTTTCTCTTCCCCAAACGAATTCCCAAGCTGGATTTTCCTACTGCGCTAATGTATGAAAATCTGATTTCTCTGAATAAACATAGAAGATGACACAACGCTGATATTAGGTTACGTGCAACCCACCCCATGCTCTTGCTGGGGGGTGTCTGGAAAAGCAGGATGCAGCTGTCAGGAGTGCCTTGATGAGCCTGCAACAGCAGAGGGCTTCTGGTGCAGCTCCCAGGGATGGGTCCAAGTTATAAGAGCCCCTAGGGCTCCTCTGGCTGTGCTGTCTGGAAGAAAAGATTGAGGTGAAGGATTTAAAATGCTGAGCCACGCAGACTGCTGCTTCGGCTCTCAGTGCAGCTGTATTTCATTGCAATCAATAAACATTTCATCATAATTTCTGGCATAAAGCAGGGAGGCTGTAAGGAAAACAGGTTCCTTCCTCATCCCCTTCCTGCTTTCTGTAGGCTGTGGAGCATCATTATAGGTGAATGCATCAGGGCTTTGGTGTTTTAAGAGGGAGATGTGGAGTAGGGGCTGCAGGAGGGCAGCAGGCAGCGGTTCGGTCACGTCCCCATAGGATACTGATGCTGGTGGTCAGGAGTCAGGGAAAGCCCAGCAGCAAAATCTCGAGGAGGATCTGGAAAAGTTCCTTCTTGAGGTCTTATGCTGGAATTCACAGCTGGATCCCATTTGTTCCCCTCAGCCTGCTCAGGTTAAAGCTTTGTGCTTACAGTGTGGCAGATAACCATTGGGTTAGGGTTCCTTGTTTTGTGACGGTGGCTGTTCCTCTGCACCCAGCCAGGGATGCATCTGCCACCTTTTCACAGAATCACAGTATCATAGAATCATAGAATTGCTTGGACTGGAAGGGACCCCAAGTTCAAGTTTCAGCTCTCCTGCCACAGGCAGAGCCACAACCTCCAGATCTGGCACTAGCTCAGGTTGCCCAGGGCCCCATCCAACTTCATCCTGACCACCTCCGGGAACAGAGTATCCACAGCCTCTCTGGGCAGCCTGTTCCACTACCTCACCACTCTCTCTGTAAAGAACTTCTCCCTGACATCCAAAACTTCCCCCTGAACTTCCCCATCCAACCTTTCCACTTTGGTTCTCATTAAACTCTTTTTCTCCTTCCATTGGGAGCCCCTCAGCTGAGGGCCATGTAGGCTGCAGGACTGTCCCTGCTCTGATGGGCTTCTGTCTCTTCTACGGCTTGGTATTTCAGACCCAGGTTCACCTCTCTGCTCTGTTCTCATTTCCCTCTTCTCCTCCTTTTGATTTTCATCAAACACCAGGAAAAACACCAGAGCTCAGCTAAAGCAGTCCACAAAATGCCAGCATGTCATCCTACAGAGCATGAATCCTACCGCAGACAGGATGCTCAGCATCCCAGCAGGCAGCGTGGGTCCCAGGGCTGGAGGACATTATATATGTATATGTATATGTACAATGCATCGTAACTCTGGAGCATGCACTGCTCAGAGTAGTAGCAAAGGACCAGCACCATTACCAGGTGCTTCTGTTCACCGTGCTTGTAGCCTTCCTGGGCCTTCCTACAGTACGGCTCTGCTGCCAGTCCTGCTCTGCTGCCTGCCACAGGCACGGGGGAGAGGTGGGCGCTGCCGGGGGCTCCATCAGATGTCTGCCACTGCCATCTGCTGGATTGCCTTCCTTCTACAGATAAATCTGTACGGCTCCCAGCTGCCAGAACAACGCCCCGAGCCCCAGTGCCTTTTGCATTGCAAAGCTGAGGAAAGGTGGTTCTGTGCAAAGTAAGCTGAATGAGGGAGGGGGAGCAGGCAGGGGGAGGAGGAGGAAGGCTGGGGCAGAGGAGAGGCATCTCAATGGGAAGTTGGAGGAGGCTGCCTGGGAGACAAGCCCAGCCTGGAGAGACGCTAGGAGAGATGCTCCAGCACTCTGTTCATCCTCGTGGCCATCCTCTGGGCCCTCTCCAACAGTTCCACAGCCTGGACACAGTACTCAGATGGGGCCTCATGAGGGCAGAGTAGGACAATCCCGTCCCTCTCCCTGCTGCCTCCTCTCTGTTGGTGCAGCCCAGGATACCATTGGCCTTCCAGACAGCAAGAGCATCCTGCTGGCTCCTGTGCAGCTTTTCATCCACCAGAGCCCACAAGTCTTCCTCAGGACAGCTCTCAATTCTCTCACCACCCAGCCTGTTTTTGTGCTTGGGACCTTACATTTGGCCTTACTGAGCTTCATGAGGTTTGCCCAGGCCCATCTTTCAGGCCTGCCAGGGTCGCTGTGAATGGCGTCCCTTTATCCCTCCAGCACACTGACTGCACCAATCTGCTTGGTCTTGTCTACAAATTTGCTGAGGGCGAACTCCATCCCACTGTGTCACCAACAAAGAAGTTAAGTAGTGCCAGTGTCCATACTGACCATTGAGAAACACTGATTGCAATTTGAGTGTGACCACTCAGTGGGTTGTGCTCTAAAAGACAGGCCAGAATGCAAAAGCAGAAAGGAAAGTGATGCCTGAAGCATTCTTCACTCCGTCATTTCTGAGCTTCTGGGCATGCGTCTTTGCTGCTTAGGTGTTGTTCATGTCTGTTTATACACAGGTAATTCACACATACATGCCAAGACTTGTGCACACAGGAATGCTCTTTCCATCTACTTCTCCTTCTCCTGTTTCTCTGCTCACTCATTGTCATCTCACAGTACAGCGACCGGAGCACAGCCCATGAAATTAAACAGTAGGAATTAATGACCAACCTTTAGAAGAAAAAGGTGGTCGTTTATCTGTCACACACTCGAGCCATAGTTTTGCTGCTTGAAGGACAAATTTGACATGGTTGCTCGATCCTCATAACGGAGGGGCTGTTGCATTACCTTTGGTCTCACTGCTAGCTCATAAACCTAAGACCACCCATTTATTTTACAGCCCTGGGTCTCGATCCATTTTTAGCAAAAATCACTGCCTCGTACAGAATGAGTCACACACACAAAGACCCTGATGATATTCATCTAACTATTCAACAAAGTGTGAGATTGAGCTCCCTCCAAGCTGCTAAACTGACTCACCCCGATGCGCAGACTTATCACAACCGGTCCAATGTCAGTACTAGCATCAGTTGTACAAAATCAGGGCTTGCCATCGCCTGTCACTGAGCCAGCTGAAGCTCTCAGAAGCGTGGAGCTGCATTGCAAGCTAAGGCTAGCTTGACATCTGGCCAGTGGCTGGCAATGAGAGCTGCAGGAGTTGAGCCTGACTGATGTGACAGCATGTGCTCTTAGCAAATCTGTGGATGGCAGTGGGTTACAGGGTGGCTGGCATGCCAAACACCAGAACTTCAATCCAGAGGGAAACGGAGGGCAATGCTGACACTCTTGTTTTCCTCAGAGCCCAGGAAGGAAAGGGCTAAGCACAGATCCCAGGGACCTGGTGCTCCTGGGCAGACCACCACGATCTCACAGCATACACACAGATGAAGCCTGGCATCTCGTTTGTCTCAGGCTGTGCTATTGAACAGTAGGGATGCGCTGCCTCTTTCTGACACTTCTATTGTAAATATCCAACGAAGGAAAAAGAAATTCTGATTTGCATACGCTGGGATCGAAGTAAATAAGCAAACATTTTGGAAAGTGAGTGTACGTATGCATAGCCACCCACGCATACATTGAAACCTCCCATCCAAGGAGAGATGAGCCTGATGTTGGTTGTTTATGTTCGTGCAGTAAGAATTCTATGAAATTATTTTTCTGGGGTGAAAAACAGAATCAACCACATCAACTCACTTCATTTCAATGTCCGTTTTATTGTAATCAATTCGCTGTTGGTGAGCTTTCAGCATCTTGTTCTGGCACTAAGCACCCGTGCTTGTAAACACTAGGTAACATAAATAAAATCTTATTACAGTAGTATCTACAGAAAATGAACTTGGTGCAAAATATGATACCTGCATCTTCTCAGCTTCCCTGCATCCGTACACAATCCAGTAATATGTGAAGGCTGTCTATCCAAAGTGCTGAATCTGCTCTTCAGTATTTGCACAGAGAGAAAGGATGGGCGAAATGATATTTGACTGGACCTTGGGAGAAACATTCACATCTCCTGAGCGACCTTGAGGAAGCCACCCAATCCATCCTTTGATCTGTTCATCACCTGCAGGATGCTACGCATCTACAATACACAACAGTGGCAATCACTCCTCTCCCACAAGAACTCCATGCAGACAAGACAACCCTAATTTTACTGAAGTGTGCAATGATAACTGGCCAAACCCATGTATCTTGTATATATCTAAGCTTTAACTAAGCCTTAAAATTCTTATTTTTTTGGATATGGACTGTGGATTCTCAACAAAGCATAGCCCCATGCCATAGGTTCCATAAAAAAAAAACCCCTAAGAAACAGAAATTATTTCCAAAAGGATGATAACTGCCAGCTATCATTGTGCCTATGCTTGGACAAAAAGACTTCCTGCATCTGTGCAGCTGCTGTGTCACCACTTGGGAGGAGGAGTGACACAGCAGAGTGAGATTGCAGTCAGTTGCACCGCTCTGAGACAGCTGGAGGATCGAGTGACCCTCTTCCAGGAATGGAGTGTTAAGTACAGGTCTGCAGAACAAACACTGACAGAAAGGTGACCTCAATAATCGGTATTTTGAGAGACAACAAGATATTTTAGGGCCAAACACTCGGACCTTTTTAGGCTATTAGTTTCCTCAACTAATAGAGGGAAGTGGAATAGTGTTTTTGGGCACTTCCCATCTCATGTCAGAGGTCTTTCTATGGCACATGTAGGGTGATTTAGTTTGAAATGTGGTGCAGGTATGTTCTGAGACAGAGAAAGGACTGCTGTGACTGTGCACCTGAGGTTGGAAGGAACAAGGGAAAGCCACACTCCCAGAGATGATACCTGAGCAGACAGGGATGTTTTGCTGTGAGCATGTGTGCCCATGATTTATTTACTGGAGAAGCAGCATGGTCGCAGGGGGCAGAGCTAGGTGGAAATAGTGAAGGGCACTGCCAAGGATGGCTTAAGGTCACAGCCTGCTGTGGGATTAATACTTCACTGTCAGTCTTCTATTGCCTTACGGCTTGAAATACGAGAGCTAAAATTTAGATCTGCTCAGGATGGACAGCTGAAAAACACACATTTCTTTGGGAAATCTGCTGAGTGAAAGCTGAAAATGAGAAAAACAAATGCCCCAAATTCTAAGGAATTGTGAGAAGTCCTGGCTCCAGTCCCTCCCAGCTGAAACCTTTCGGTCATACTTTAATTCTATTCATTCTCCCTTCCAGAATACTATTTTCTGAACCTTGAAAAACCAAAGTGTTGCAATAAGTGAGGAAGGACCAGGAGGATGTTAACTCAGTTCACATCTCTAGAGGTCGGAGCAACTTCCAGGAACAGCTGGAGATGCAAAGTGACCCTCTGTAAGAAGCGGGGCTGGCACTTGAAGCGAACCAGGGGGAAGTAAAGGACAACACCGCTAAAAACGAACAGGGCTACGTAGAGAATCTCAATCTGGGGTTGGTCGATGATTGGAGCTAACACCAGGTACACGGCTGCCATCAGCACAACTATGGGGATGACAATGGGGACCTGTGAAAACAGAACGTAAAGACAGCCCTGAATCTTGTGCAGAAAGCTTTTTAGACGAACGACTGCCGCAGCCTGATGTATTATCCAGAAATCACAGTTAATCCAGGCTTCCTGTTTCCCAGATCACTCCTCCTCTAAAGCTGAACAGCCCTTCAAGAGCTACACCACGTGCCATAACCCCTGGTCTTCCCTGCCCACCCAGACCTGAAGATGCAGACAGCTGTTTTAGTTCCAGATCTGCCCTTGCTGTCCAGACTACTTTGCATCCAAAACCTGAGCAATAGACAACACCCACATCGATGTGCCCAGATTGAATCTTAGCACCCACCCACATCGATGTGCCCAGATTGAATCTTAGCACCCTGGAGCCAAAAGGTTTCTTGAAGTGTTCATAGACAGGTGGACAAGGAACCTCAGAGACGATTAAATACAATTACAGAATCGCCTGCTGCCTGGAGGAACACCATGAAACCCAAGAGGAAGCCTCAGCTCACTCATGGCATCAGGAGAAAAAGCAGATAACTCCCGATTTCTTTCCACTGAACTAATTAGTGGGGAGCAAACCTCTCCCCTGGCCATGACAGAGGACTTGGGCTGTTCTGGCCAGCTTTTTTTCTCTTAGGGAAGGCTCTCATACCTGGGCCATCTAGTCCAACCATCAGCCCCCCACCACCAATGCCCACTAACCACATCCCTCAGTACCACACCGACCCTTTTCTTGAATATCTCCAGGGATGGTGGCTCCATCGCTTCCCCAGGCAGCCTGAGCCAGTGCACATTATGGGATAGAACATGCAATTAAAAAAGGAAAATCACGCCAAATCTGTAAGCAACAAACCCCAGTGCTTTCTCATTCCTCAGAAAGCTATCTTATTCGTTTGGATGGTCAAGGAAAAGGGCTAGGGGGCTCCATGTTATTACTTCACCTTGTAAGATCTTGGCAGGTCTTGTTTCTTGATTTTTAAATACAGGAGACCAGAAATAGTCATGCCATAGAAAAACCATGCTATAAAACTGGAAAAAAAAACAACATTAAATTTGGGGTGAGATCAGTCAACAACGTCAGTCCTGCTTTGCATGTCCCAAGTACACATATCTTCAATTAAAAAGGATAATATTGATATAAATTTAGTCATTCTTGCATTCGTTTCTTTTCCAGCACAAATAATGACAACCTCAGAATGGTCTGAATATGACAGATTCATTTCAATATGAGGATGAATCACAGCCAGTTAAGTATTCATTCAAAAGCGTTCACGCGTTGCAGAGATCCTGGTTTATAAGATCTTTCTTCTCTCCTCCTCCCTCGTCAGCATCGGTCAAGAAGCAATAAGCCATGTTCAAATAAGTATTAAAAGAAAATACTTCCGCAGAACGTCATCACCCAGCACTGCAGGGGGTGCAAAGAGAAAGGCCGTGCTCACCTGAAATAGGTCACAATGCTGGTGAAGTTTCCTGAGATTATCATTATTAAAGACATTGCAGAGGTGAACAGCAGCGCAGGAGAAGGCGTGAGGCATCGCACGTGGGCCATGGACAAGATGTCAGGCTGCAAGCCAAAGCAGAACACTCGTTGTCACGTTGTTGTCATGCTGTGGATGTGGGGACATCCCCGCAGCCGCTGGGGGCAGTTCTGCCTGCAGCCACATCCACTCCGGCTCATCAAATAAGCACCATGATCTAAAAGCTGTTCAGCTGTGAGGAATGTAAACATGAACCCTCCCAGCAAGGACATTTTGAGTCTCTCTGATTTCGCAATAGATTTGCTGGGTTTAGGCAGACAAGATGAGGTCTTCAAGCTACCAGTGTGACAGATGAAGGCTGAGTCAAATCAGAGCTTTCCTGACCATCACCAGAAAAGCAGCCTGGCCTTCTCACAGTCCCACTCTCCTGCCCTCTGTCACATTGCTCTGAGACCTTTCCTGGTCCAACTGGAAAACGGGATGACCATTTCCAACTTGCAACCAATGCAAGGGAAGATTGGTTCCAGAATATGGAGAGAATGGTAGGCTTCTTTACTTCTCAGTTTATTGGGAATGCTAAATAGAAAGTCTGTTGATTTTTTCCAATTTTTATTCTTATTTTACTTTTACTATCATGCAAGTTGTTCTGCTAGGCTCAGTCTGAGAAAAAGACTGAGCAAGAGGTCAGCTCTTAAGTCCAATATGGTGAAACTCAGACTGTGAACTGCTCAGCACAGAGCTTGCCACAATAACAGATGCTGTCATAGAATCATAGAATACTTAAGGTTGGGAAAAACTGCTAAGATCATCCAGTCCAACTGCCCACCCAGCACCAGTATGACCCACAAAACCATGTCCCTAAACACTGCTATCTGCTTCTTGAACACCCCCAGGGACAGAGACTCCTCCACCTCCCTGGGCAGCCTGTGCCAACGCATCACCACTCCTTCTGAGAATAAATGTTTCCTAATACCCAACCTGAACCTCTCCTGGCACAATTTGAGGCCATTCCATCTTGACCTATAGCTGTTACCTGGGAGGAGAGACCGAACCCCGCCTCACCACAGCCTCCTTTCAGGGAGTTATGGAGAGCCATAAGGTCTCTCATGAGCCTCCTCTTCTCCTGACTGAACAATTCCAGAGAGCATCACCACTAAAGGAAGACACCAATTCAGTCACCTCCACCAATCTTGTCATTTATGTACGTGGAGTATTCCCTGCAGTGCCAAAGGAGTGGAGCTGATGCAGAGTGCTACACTTTCCCCCTGAGTAGAAATGCTGGATGGTGTGGGGAGGGAGAAGCAAAGCAGCAGCAAGCTCCATGAGGAACACAACACATCTCAAAGCAGAGGAGGTTGAATGCAGCGCAGCTCAAGTGCCAAAAGTGGAGCCAACTTCCAGATGTAGCAGAAGCATCCAGACGTGTGTATATGTGCACCTCATATGTTGTATACATGTGTTTGTGTATGTGTGCACCTACTGGGAACACAGCTCAACCTCACTTTCAGCTGGACCTGGGCCGTGGGGCTGTGGCAGCCTGGCCACTGTTAGGCCAATGGATTCAGCCCTGCCTAACAAGACTATTTAAAAAACAAATCTAGGGAAGTTCCAAACATCAGTGTCACCTTGCAATAGCTGTGAAGAATATAAAGTTGCTCAAAGCAAACCAGATCTCCTTTCTGATTTCTTACCATATGACCTTCCCTTGCAGCGATGTAGCACACGCGGCCTCCACTAAAGAACGTGCCATTGGATGAGCCAAACGTAGACAGTGCCACTGACAGGGAGATGATCCATGCCCAGTTACCCAGGACTTTGTTCCTGAGGTGAGAAAGAATTTATGGCACAACATCCAGCTCGCGAGTGCACCGAATATTCATCCTAGAACCCAACAGCTCTCTTTACTCCATTATTCTCATTGAACGTTTTTTTCCAAGCTTTTCCACTGATTGAAAGCCTTCTGCTCACTCCCGTAATATTTAGTTGCTAGGAACTTTGTCTTGTCCAGAACAAGCAAGCTTTTCTTCCTGCCTGGTATATTTCCACCTAAATCTGTCCACACCGTAATGGTGGACACACAAAACTCACTGTTTTATGTGCATTTATGCTGCATGACTCCAGCAGATACTGCATTTACAGCCAACAGTATAAGAATGGAAAATGCAGAAAGACTGTTATCACCATTAGAATTGTGTGGCATTAAGCCATACGTACGCCTTTTCAGTATCACTTATCCCAAATATTCAAAAATCAACAGCTGGGCTTCCCAAAATTATGGCAGTTGCTCCCGTGCCACAGTCACTTCACAGTTTACAAGTTTATAGTTAATAGTTTACACATATAGTTTAGAAGTTTACTGTCCAGGTTACAGGCCTTCTGGATTTGGGTTATTAAGCCGTTTGCCACAGTCAGAACTGAACATTTCCTTGTCTCGAAATGATGGAATCTGAGCACCTCTCATGATTGCAGGACTCCATCGCCTCAAGTCAGCAGTGTTTCTCCCTAGCAATCTTCTTTGTTTGAACAGGTTACAGAGCCTCACTAAACTGACTCATGAGCTTTCTCTGCACTTCCTTTCTCACCACTCCCAATTAACACCTAATTTGTGAGCCCCCTCCTTTTTGACGCATCTTCTTTTCCTTCCTGATTCATCTTTTCACCCCAAAAGTGAGCTCAGGAGATTCAACAAATCCAAGTGCAAAGTCTTGCACCCAGGTCGAGGCAACCTCCACTACCAATACAAACTGGGAGATTAAAGGATTGAGAGCAGCCCTGCTGAAAAAGACCTGGGGGTACTGGTGGATAGGAAGCTGGACATGAGCCCTCACAGCACAGAAAGCCAACTGTATCCTGGGCTGCATCCAAAGAAGCGTGGCCAACAGATCCTACCCCTCTACTCTGCACTGGTGAGGTCTCTCCTGAAGTACTGCATCCAGATGCGGAGTCCTCAGTATACAAAAGACATAGACCTGCTGGAGCGCATCCAGAGGAGGGCCACAGTGATCCGAGGGATGGAACAATTCTCCTATGAGAACAGGCTGGGAGTTAGGGCTGTTCAACCTGGAGAAGTTTCTGAGGTCACCTGATAGCAGTCTTTCATTATCTAAAGGGCAGCTACAAGAAAGAAGGGGACAGACTCTTTAGCAGGGTCTGTGGTTACAGGACTAAGGAAAATGGTTTCAAGCTTAAAGAAGGTAGATTTATGTTGTACATAAGGAAAAATCTTTTACAGTGAGGGTGATGAGGCACTGGAACAGATTGCCCAGAGATGTGGTTGATGCCCCATCCTTGGAGATGTTCAGGATCAGACTGGACCAGCCTCTGAGCAACCTGTTCTAGCTGTGAATGTCCCTGTTAATTGCAGGGGAGTTGAACTAGATGGCCTTTAAAGGCTCCTTCCAACTCTAAGGATTCTGTGATGCTTATGGAGGAATAAATGCACTTCAGTGCGATGTGTCCTCCTCTGGCTTCTTTATGCCTCTCATTTCCCTCCCTAATGGCTGAAATGGCTGCACCTCCTGTCACCAAACACAGGGAGCACACCCTCCTCAGCCCATGGCCATCCACCTGTCCTCAGGGCTTCAGGGTGCTGCTGAGATTCCTGATTGCTACTTCAGTGCTTCTCCTTAGTTGTGTTTTTGGGGTGAAAAGATGAATCAGGAAAGAAAAGGAGATATGTCAAAAAGGAGGGAGCTCACAGATCAGTTGTTAATTGGGAGTGGTAAGAAAGGAAGTGCAGAGAAAGTTCATGAGGCTGCAGTTTAGTGAGGCTTTGTAACCTCTTCAAACAAAGCATCAGACCTTTAAAAGTCTTTGTAATTACATGAAATGCTGTTAGAGAACATACCTAGCAAGAGCTCGTTCAGATCTTCAAGCTGAAGGTGTTGTGAAATGCACACAGCGGCAAAGCTGCTGCTGACTTTTCAGGGAGAGAATGAGCAGCAACATATCTCTGGATATAACGTGTCATGGTTTCTGCCAGACAACTCACTGGGGAGATCATGGATTCTGTGTCTTAGAAATACTTAGGCTGAAGTTGGGTGTTCTGGTGGAAGAGCACCTGGTTCAAAGCCATTGCTGCCTATATTTCTCACGAAGGTCCTTTCCTTCCTATCCTAAAATCCTTGGTGTTCAATACCACCACACTGATTCTGTGGAACAGCTCAGGCTGATGGAAGGTGCAAATAGTTTGTAAGCAGATGGGGAAACTGACCCAACGCGCTTTTGTCTCAGCCCCAAATCACCGCCACTGCATTTGTGGGGCAGCACGCTGTCCTCTCCACTTCTCTGCAAAACATAGGATATATGTATGGATATGTATCTGGATATGTATTTGAGCTGGGCTTACGTGAGAACAGCACCTAAATCTCCCAATATTCAGGGGAGAACCTGTGTTTTGCTGAACCACATGGGCTGTGTTACCACAGGCAGAGCTCACCCCCAAGTGACAGCCACAGCTCCTGAAGTCAGCAGCTCAGATGGAGCCATGGCCGCAAAGTAGCTGATGTTTACCAGCAAATACAGGCATGTAACCAAAGGAATAGCAAACATCACAGCTCTGGGAAGGGTCACCTGGGAAAGGGATGACAAGAGTGTTAGATGCAGCATGTTTACGCTGTTGTTTTGTCTTTGCTACTGCCCACATTGAACTGAAACACATTTGCTCACAATACTTTTCCCAGACTTATACCCAGATTCATAAGGAAGTTTTTACACCAATCTCCTGTACTATTAGGCTGTACATTTCAAAAGCTGTTCCTCAAAATAAAACAAATCATATTCAAAACATTTTGCTTCAGAGATGCCCAAGAAGTCTGCTGCACACTTGCTGATTATTTTCATATTGGTTTATTTACTGCGTATGGCTCCTGATGTGCTGCATCTCTGCACGAACATCTGATGGAAATGGGTGAAAACCCAGTGTGTGCTGCATCCTGTGTAACAGCACAAGGGAGATCTGCTCCAGGAAGGAATTATTGTGTTCTTAATGACAGAATACCACCTGTGTGCCCACAGACTACTTTAAGCTGCATCAAAATCAGTAACTACTGCTTCGTGCAATTGAAAGAACAAGAAAAGAGCACCTAGTAGTCATCTCAGAGCCATTTTGTATTTAAAAAACATGAGATATCCATTTCTGTATTCCCCACTCTTACTGTAGGACAAGATAAGGCAATTCCTTATGTTGTTACCTCCACCCTGTCCAGGTCTGAAAATCAGTACACACAGTCCTGTGGGAGAGAGTGCCACGTGATTCTAGGATCTTTGCTTCCATTTAGATTAATATTCAACTGTGCATTTCCATTTAAACTGTAAAATCTTGCACACTGCACTGGCAGAAAGTGCAAGGTATCAATGCTGTGCTCACACAGCATGACGTTGCTGTGGTGTCCCATCTGTGATCTGCACGGCACAGGGAGGGCTGATGTGAGATGCAAGTGAGCTACTTCAGTGCCTACTGCATGGACCAAACAATGCCTAGAAAATAAATGATTAAAGACAAGAGTTGTTCAGAGGCTTAGATTCCCTTATCAGTGAGGGTTGGCCTGCTCTGGTTCCCCTCCATGCAGTGAGGAGGGACAAGTGTTTTTCTGAAGCACACATTACAGATTAGATCTTTTGAGGAATATGTGGTATTGAGAAACCATTAGCAGTAGGGTGGCTGCAGCACTTTTCTGCATAAATCTGGATATCTGGTGTGAGATGCTCTGAACTCTGAGGAAACTTCAACGCTCAACCACCTAGAAGCTCTTTCTCCAGCCAGTGAGATCTGGTAGTGCTTTCTTCTGGGTAGCCTGCACTTTTCCTTTGAGCCTCATTTTTGTTTGTCCTGTCACGTTTCCAGACACATCCATAGGTGTCCTGCCCCACTACAACAGCAACAACGAAACAGCAGTTTTTCCCTTGATGCCCTATTCTTCAGTTACCCATAGCAGCAAATTTGCATAACCACTGGGCAAATACAATGCAGCTCACTCACCTCAGGGTTCTTCAGTTCCTCAGTGACGTAGTTCAGGTTGTTCCAGCCATCGTAGGACCAGAGCCCCTGATAAAATGCCACTCCGATCGTCCCAATACCTGCATTTGTGCCTTGAAAAGCGTTCTGAAAGCTCTGAGTCTGCCCGTTGGCAAGCAGCACCAATCCGCCCACCACAATCACCAGCAAAGCCAAGAGTTTGGCAGCTGTAAAAACATTCATAATAGACATCGCCAGCCTCACGTTGAGGCAGTTGATGATGGTTAGGACCAGGATGCAGGCAGCAGCTGTACATTTGATGACAACCTGCGGGGATGAGCATCCTTGGTAGAACGGCGCGACGGCGTATTCGGCAAAGCTCAGACAGACAGCTGCCAACCCAGCTGGTCTTATCAGGATGACAGAAGTGTAGGCGAAAAGAAAAGCAGGAAAGGAACCAAAAATCCTCAAGATGTAAATATATTCGCCTCCAGACTCTTTGATCACGGTTCCAAGCTCAGCGTAAGACAGGGCTCCGAACATGGCCAGCAGACCACACGCTGCCCACATGAGCAGGCTGCTGGCGGGGCTCCCCATGTGATGCAGCACCCACTCAGGGGACATAAAGATTCCCGAGCCTATCATGGTGCCTGCAATTAATGACACTCCGCTAATCAGGCCAACCTCTTTTTTCAGCCTTAATTTCTCCCTTCCTTCACTCGGATCTGCGGATGAATGAGGCGAATCTGATGTTTGCCTTCTCCTCATTGTGGACCTGTTAGGAGATGTTTCTTCAGAGGCAATACGGAATAAGACTGAGTCATTTGAATAAGAACCACCTAAGGTCTTGAAGGTTAATAATTATAAGAGTCACACTGTTAAGAAATGGACATGCTCTTCCCCTGTTTTGCATTCTTCCATGCCCTGTCTTCTCTTGCTAATCTATAATTGTTCAGGTCCTGCCAAGTTTGATTATCTTTGACTGTCATTACAATAATGGCAATGGATTGTGCTTAGCAGTACTTGAGTCGTGCAGCACCTTACCAGATTGTGCCCCTGGTCACATCTTTGAATTACGCTTCTAATGGCACCTGAAGCAGACTTAAGATAAGAAAAATCCCCATGCAAATCTGTACTTTATTCTTTGGTTTAAAGTCAAAGATCAAGCATCTGCTTTAGTGCTGAATTATATTTTCACTCCCCACTATAAAGGGATCAAACCAGCCTGTCAACCAGCCCTGCTCAACAAGGAATATCTCCAGTTCCTTCACCAAAGACACAGAAGCGTTCTGCTAAAAACAGCCCAGGTTCTGCTTTCTTGTGGAACAGTGGGGGGAAATTCTGGCTTTTTCAAATTTCAGGAAGCACAGGAGGAGAAGAGTGAAGAGGCAACAAATGCATTTTATGGGCCCTTTTTGTCAGTGTCTGTGAGGTACACAGATTCATAGCAGACCGCAGTGTTCAGAGGATGCTGTCACTGCTCTTCATATACACTGAAATGCGCACAGTGAGGAGAAATGCGGAGGCACACGCTTTTGGCAATGCCTCTACTTCCTACTGATCTAACAAAATTCAGGATTTGGGGAGGCCTCTGCAGGGAATCAGAAGATTGTTACAATGCATGAGGGTGCATTTTGTGATCTGTGATACGTGTGAAGCACTGAGAAGGGGATGTCTGCACAGATTTCTTTCGACATAAAGTAAACTTTACCGACTGCAACTGTGAAGGAGGAGACTTACTGTCCCTGGTGGTCTCTGTCAGCCTTCTGCTGTGATGAATACCAGAAAACAGGGTTGGGACCTTCCTCAGGACTTCCTAGACACGGCAGACCTTGATTCTTTACAACAATCTGTCCTCCTGAACCATTTGAGCTATAAAAAAAAAAAAAAAAGCATGAATATAAACAATTATTGTTATTTCTAATTTCTTCTCTTTCCCTGTTTTGTTTTTTATTATTTTAAATTATCTTCTTAGCTTTCCTATGGATGAGTCTTGAGCTCTTAGCAAAATTCTTAGCACCCATAAGAAAAAGAAGGTAAACAAGTTGTCCAGTTTCTCGTGGTAAAGCAAGTAAAGCAGAACAGATTTTAACATCAAGTTCTAGTTTCTTCAAAGGTGGATAAAAAAGAGATCTCATTTAAAAGTATAAATCTTATTACCAGACAAAGGAGATCATTAGAAAAGCTTTTTCTTTTGGTAAGGTATGCTGGGAGTCATTCCTGACACTAACTGCCATGTCCCAGCCATTAAGAGAGAGAGCAACGGCCAGACTTGCAAATCCCCTCGGTTAGATTAAGGTGAAATGACGTTCAAGGTCCAAACACAGTCATCAATTTTAATGAGGATTCCTGTAATACAATTACGAGTATCGGCACTCTTACAATTATGTCTAAGCTGTTCTGCTAACCTATGTGACACTATAGGAAATCGAAATAAGCTTTGTGTTACTTAGCAACTTGAAGAGAAGGAAAAAGAGAGAGAGACGGACAGAAGTAGAGAGCACCGGTCGGGTTGCAGCCCTGCTCCATCCAGGGAGGGTCCTCGGTCTGAAAGTGTTCATCCAGAGGTGCCACCTGAGCTGCTCCTGAGCACCTTTTATGCCCGCTAGATGTGGGGGTTCAAGCAGCACATCCACAGGTAAAGCTGCGTTATCACTGAACAGGGAGTTTGGGCCAGAGCAAGGCCGTCCCAGCTCCCTCACCTCATCCTTGAGCAGCTCACCTATTGTCATGGTGACCATCCTATCTTGCAAGTGTTTGAGGCATTTCCAGGCATACCACAGATAAGGTGTTTCCCACTTGTCTGCTGTACCAACTCACTAGTATTCACTAGGAAATGGATCCCAGCTTGATTCTCAAAGACAGTTATAAACATTCACAGCTGATCAATGCATGACTTTCACAAAAATGAATGGTTATTTTGTCTGTATCAAAGAAGTTTTTTTAAGTCTCCTTAGTAAAGGTGTGAGTTCTAACAATAAACACATGCTCCTTGTACTGCTAGGGTGCAAATTAATTCATTTTGAGTTAATGGTTTCTAAAGTGCTTGAAAAGTTGAAAGCAGGCATCCCAGTAATGCAGAATATTTTGGATTACTGCTACTAAGTGACAGTGCTTGTCTTGTTAACTGGTTTAACTATCTGTAGCATAATCGTTTTACAATTAGGCAACACTAGAATCCTTCAGAGGTCTAAGGATATGAGGGTTTTTTTCTGCACTGTAGACTACAGACTTCTGTGCACAATTATACATACATTATGTAAACCAGTCATATTTGAAAATGTATTCACAGAACACAGCTAAATCAATACTAAAAGAAAACTTACTGTGACTGCAGGTAGTTGAGCATTCTGGTCAGGTCACAGAAGTATTTCAGTAACTATTCCATTGTAATAAAGAAGTTTCTTTTCTCAAGTGTAAATGTAAGGCTCTGTGGAGGAGCTGAGAGGATCTTTTCAAACCTTTACAGTTTTGGCTCCTAGAAATAGAACTAGATGATCGTTGAGGTCCCTGCCAACCCAAGCCATTCAATGATTCTAAGAAATAAAGAACTCCTGATCTAATACTGTAGAATCAGAATTTGTTCAAACTTGATCATGTCTTAAAAATTTCTGTAAGACCACTCAGATAGCGAGGATTAATTAACTGGTGAGTCAAAGCCTCAGTCAGTTTCTAAAGGGAGTCTATTTCTATTCCTCTGATCATTGTCACTCAGTTCTAACTCCTACCCAAGGTAATAATAACTCTAATTAATCAGATAAGAACCTGAGGCTACTCCTGTTGAAGTTAAGATGGTCTGACTTCTCTGGATTTTTTTTTCCATTGACTTCATTCTTTTTTTGACCGGTGTCAGCAGTGGGGAGCAGGCAACCACAGATACTTTAGTCAAGTGGATTGGCACCATTATCAAAGCGTTTGTCAAGATTGGATATGTAAAGATGTATCTCACTGCTCCACTTCAAAAACTGTGTATGAGCAGGAGTAAAAATAAAGCACTGCTTTCCCCTTCCGGGGAATAGCAAAACTTTGTTATTCAGGCTGCCATGTATAGGTCTGCAACCGAAGCAGCTCTCACTGGCCATTTGACATTGACCAGCAGTGGCTGGTTGCCATCTACTGGTCTCTAAGCAATAAAGCAGCTTTGTCCAGTGAATTCGGGCTTGCTCTACTTCAGGGATTGATATCTTGCATTATTGATTAAAAAGGAAATATGCAACAAGTATTAGTTCTTGAGCATTAATGTAACATAAATTGAAAGTATGTTGAACTCATGAATGAAAATTGCCCTTTATGTCATTAGGACTGTTTTTATCCCAGCAATAACTACAAGCACTACAGAAAAATAATTTAACATAAAAGCTGATGTCAGTTAGTAAAAAGCAGAAAAAAAGTGCACAAATAATTTGCAGTGCTTAATTTTGGGCCCTGGGAGCTGCATTTGGAACACAGTTATAGGTTCACCTTCTCACTATGCTATACTTTGGAAAGAGTTACCATTCTCAGAACAGAAAGTAAAAACAACCTACAACCTGAGATCAGTGGCCAAAGCCTACAGCTTTCCTCTGAGGCAGGCATTTCTTTATGCCTACTAAAAATGTACAAAGATCAAGATTTTCTATTTTTAGAAGACAAACAAACAAATCAAGTTGTCTGGGATGAGCTAACAGAGAACTCCTCCAGGATAGAGAACTCATCCAGGACTTCCGATGTGGGTTTCATCGCCTTCTCTACTTGAGAATGTGGGAAGCCATAAATCCAAGAATGCCCTCTTCTCCAAAATGTAGGCTTGGAGCTGTGTTTGCAGGCAGATCTTGGTGCAGAATCAAAGAATCATTTGAGTTAGAAGGGATCCTTAGAGACCATCTAGTCCAATTCACCTGCAATTGCACAGGGGCACCTACAGCTCCATCAGGTGCTCAGAGCCCCATCCAGCCTGACCTTGAGTTTCTCCAGGACAGGGCATCTGCCACCTCTGGGCAACCTGTGCCAGTGCCTCAGCACCACCTGTACTTGTGATATAAGCAGAGGTATCTGTTGAAAGGAGGGAGGCAACAAACACTAGGAAACTGGAGCTCTGAAATAGGTTTTGAGCCCATAAGAAAAAATGGGGCAGAGAGAAAACATGTCACATGTGCGCTATGTGAAAATAGAAGGAAAAGTTGACTCACTCAGAGGTGTTTGCCTGGGCAGGGGGTGCCCTGTGGTGCTGGGCTCCAGGAACTCGCCTTCCACGAGCCCAGCCAGCACCACTGCTGGCTTCCAGCTACCAGAGCTGACCTGCACTCACCCAGGGGCAGACAGGTGAGCTCCAGGCTGCTGCTGTCGCTTGGTAAGACCCCAGCACATTCTGGTTCTGCAGCTGCTGAACTGAAATACTGGGTTTTGTTTTGCATGATGAAGTGTCGCACGTTCTGCCAATCAGATACTGGGCATTTTGTTTCGTTGTCTTATTGTGTTCAGGAGGAAGCTGTTAGCGTTGTACTGTATGTTCTGTGCTGCCCTATGGAGCTGTACGTTGGGCAGTAACAGTCCAACCCCTCCATGCTGCATGGAAGGACACTTCAGTAGAAGAACTCATATAGAAAATAGTAATGGAGCAACACAAAACAAGGCTCATACATGAAAAGGAAATAATAACCACTTGCATCAGTACTGGTCCCACTGCTGCATGCAAAGGTCAGGACTTGTTACTTAAAGTTTATTTTATAAATATCAAATAAAAATAGACAATTTAATTAAGAAGGTTTATAATAAAATTAGAAAGGAGAATTCTGCTTCTAATATGATTAGAGTAGCATTCTGAAGGTAAACAGGCAAATAAAGAATATGTTTTTGCCAATAGGTGCTGCATACATTGGAAAGCAGTACAACCACAGAAGATCCCAAGAGATGCACAGACGCAGCAGGAGAGGCCGTGTGTAAGTGTTCATTCCCCAACCTGGGGGAATATAACTTCAACAAAACAAATAGAAAAAAACCAACAGCTCTAGACTGATGCTGGCTCCAAGGTTCCCCACTTTGGCACTACAGACAGTTACTGTACCAATACTGTGCTGTTGCTGTATTTTCTTTCACCTGTTCACATCCACATTTCCCGATTTTATCTACCTATGCACATATAGACACCGAATATTCCAAACCTGTCCTGTTCTCTTTTTCACGCCTTAGAACACTTTTACATTTGCCTTTATAATCTCTTTGCATCTCTTTGTGCACTGAAGAATTCCTTTTAAATCTTGAAACTCTTTTTTTATTATTATTATTACTTATTAGCTTTAACTTCTCCTACATGAAGTCTGTTTTGAAGAATCACCTCGTCCAGCCATCCACCTACCAGCACTGCCCACTGCCCACGTCCCTCAGTGCCATATCTACATTTCCAGATCATCTCCAGGGACAGTGACTCCACCAGCTCTAGGGGGCAAAAATGCATTCCTACATTTATGAACAGATTGCCCTTTCCCTAATACTAAATGGTTTGTTATTTCCAAAACAAACTTTTACAACACTCGCTTGTAGTTTAATCTATAACTTCATATTCACTGTGTTAGGTACCATTCTGTAATAAAACAGTGTCATCTCTACAGTTCTTATTAAAAATATCATAATGTTGCTGGTCCAAATCATGCCAGCTTCTCTTAGCTCCAAAGGCAACATAGTGACCATGTGCATGTAACCCAAAGTCTTAAAGACTTTCCCAAAACCTACCCTGTATCACAAGAGACATTCCAGGTCATACTGGCTGTTAGAAAATAGAACAGAGGACTGGCTGAAGTGCAGCCTGTTAAATGAATTACAGCCCTGTGCTTTACACCCATGTAAAGACCATTCCTGCACTCAGTGCAACCCCTGCACTTTGTGCCTGCTCCTCTGGTCAGCTGCAGCCAGAGGAGCATCTTCCTCCCAGCAGCCCAAGTGGCTGAAGAGCTGCTTGCCCATCTGGAAAGACACTCGGAGAAACGCAGCCAGGAAGAAAAGTAGGGTAACGAGGCTTGCAGCAGCTCGTGGAAATGCTGTGGGCTGCCTCCCTGCCTGTTTACTTTCTTTTGGTCACGCTCTAAGAGCAGGGTGGGGCTGGGTAGGCTTATCCCTACATCACACTTTCTGCCATCAACATGTGGGGCAGGTCCATACTGCACTTCCCCAGCACCGAGTGGGGTGTCCACGGAGCCAGGCATGGCACAAGGGCAGA